TAATTCTATTTGTCAAGTAGGATTTCTAGCCAAGAAATATAATTTAAAGATATTATTTACTTAGTAGGAAAAATATACGAGTACGTTTACAAGTATACTAGTCATGGGAGAAGGACTAGATTGCCCGGAGTAAAAAAGATTCAATTTTACAAGTTTCAAATCTAATTATGACGGATTATTAAGATTTAAAAATAAAATTTAGAAGCAAATCAAGTAGTAAAAATAAAATTCAAATGTTTAACGAAATTTTTATTTACCAAAAATCAGGGTCGTTACAACTCCCATATATGAAAGCATGAAATTAACGTATATGAAAGCATGAAATTAACGAGCAAATGCAAAAATAGTTTTGACTACATCATCGCATGATCTATCTGGATTCAGTTTTATAGAAAAATGTAAATCTTTCCATTGTTTATCATGTTTAAGGAGCATGTCTTCTAGATGTTCAATCATGAAGTCACGATGGCCAGTCGCACTTCATGTTGAATATCCAGAATTTGATTCTCAAAATCTTTGGAAAATGAGTCACACATATTATACAAATCCACCTCTTGTAATCAAAATATTTCTTAACAAAAACATATTAGACACACTATAGATTCAAACTCCATCACTCAAGATAACACAAACAGGCATCAAGTGTATTTAGCATAAGAAAAAGGGAAACACACTGAACACTCACAAGAACGTAACAAGCACAAAGTCTAATCACCTCACATCAACCACATTAAAACCTAACTTTCTACAAATACACGTATTCGCGGAACAAGTAATTTCAAGCCATCACAATAGTCAAAGAAAATGGAGTAATCAACGGCAACCAAAGCACCTACAAGGTCAAGCACCCAACTCATGACACGGTTTACAATAAAATGTCATCCTATTCAAACGTAAATGCAATGTCACTTAGTATAATGAATGTCGATCATATAAGCACAAATGATCTATGAAGCGAGTTGTGATATTTTGAACCAATGAGATTAAACGTCTCCCCACGGTCTCAAGGTATTCAAACCTAGACGCTCTGATACTAATTTGTCACGCTCTCGATTTTCAACATAAATAAATAATCCACTTCAATAAAAGATTCTTGCTTAACATAAATATTACCCAAAAGAGTTCCCAAGTTTAAGTAATTACAACTTTGGCACTGCGACCCAAATCAACTTAAATGCAAGCACGAACTTGTTTAAGGTATTACATACTTTATAATCAAGACGAATTTAAGTGCAGTTAGTTACAAATCCATCTTTGTCAAAAGAAAGCCAATACAAGATGTTTAAATAACTAAAACGGAATTAGCTCCCAAAAGTCTTCATGCCCAAGCACACGAATGCATACAATCTGTGGTCCAACATCTTGTCCTGAAAGAAAGATTAGGTTGAGCTACACTAGCCCAGTAGGAAAATCTTTACCGATTCTATATGTAAACATGATGAAATGTGCAGGTGAAATGAAGACAAGTAGTACGGCTCAATCGATAGATAACAATTGATTTAAGGGCATTCCAACGTTCAATATGATCATCCTAACACATGCCTATAGCTCAATGTACCACCAAGTTCACATGATATTAAACAACTCAAGTGACCTCGACAAGACTCACTATCGCCAATCACCTCCATCGGTATTTCCACCCCTTGTGTTACCGTATAATACCATGAGAATTACCGTGTTACCACCCCTTGCATCACAGTGATCCCTAACAACTCGGGTCACCGTATTACCACCCCTTGTGTTACGAGACCGTCTAAGTCGTCGTATTACCACCCATTGCGTTACAAGACTTCTTAAATCAACTTCCGACATAAACAACTATTTTCTTATTCGATATACAAGCTATGACCTTCCCAAGACCACAATCATACATGAAATATGTTACAACATGCCAACTATATCACAAATAAACCACAAACGTTCATAAATAATCAATCAATCACAAATTGCATCTTATTGACACCTCAACCAAGTAAACTATTGTTCAATTCTTCCCACGGAAGGCCAACGGGTCAAGAATAACATCCACTAGTGATGAGCACCCAATATTGCTAATATTTGGTGCTCTAGTCCTCTAGCTTATAGCTTATTTACGTTTTAGTTGCCGTTTTAGCTCGATTTTGCACGTAAGGTACTTTGTTGAGCTGTGCAGATGAAACGTGCAAATAAGGCGTTTTACGACGCCAAGTTTAGCCCTTGAGGGTAATTGCGCATCCGAGGCCAAGGTGTTGTTCTACCCAAGTCCGGGAAGTCAAGGGATGATGCCTCGGGTGATGCTCAAATGTGCTGGAGCAAGTTGGCAGAGCAGGAGATTAGGAATTTGCAAATTCTGCAGATTGTTATCGATTACAGAAGGCAGGGGTATCGATTACTTTTGTCCAAATTTGATCCAGGAAGCTGCCAAAACAATGGTATCGATTACTGCAGCACATTGTTATCGATTACCTCCTTCCTCTTTGACGGTCTAGTATTGCCACCTGATGTATCGATTACTGATGTAACAAGTATTTGACGGTCTAGTATAGCCACCTGTGTCCTACCTCGCGGTGCGATACGGGAAGAAAAGTATGACTCGTGAGATTGCGTGAATATCGGGCGGTGTTCTTTGTTTTTCCCTTTGTATATATATGTTGTTGGCGCCCGGATAACACGACCCGGACGGTTCTAATGTCATTTGGCTCTTAGTAGGTAGTTCGAGCTTCAGTCTTTAACAGGGTAAACGTGCTACCACACCAGCCTTGGTGGATTGGATCTAAAGTCGAAGTGATTGAGGCATTCAGGAGCCCTAAGCACGGGTGCGATTACGTGTCTCGGTTGTCAGGCCAATAAAGCTTTGACCATGGTCCCGTGTGACTAGCTGTGGTTCTGTGGGAAGAGCCGAAGGTGTTGACCTTGGATGCTGTTCGGATGACAAACAGAGCCGGTGACAACAAAGCCTCCAACTTGGTCGAGGTATAAGGGGGTTGACATTCCCCAGAGGTACAATTTTTGTTCTTTCCCTCCCAATTCTGTTGTTTTCTATGCTATGAGGGCCTAGCACATTTCAAGTTGGGGGGAGAGATATATATATTCTATATATATGATTTTTGGTAAATTGGTAAAATTTTTACTTTTTAGTCAATTTTTAGTTATACAATCCTTCCGTTATTACAGAATTAGTGAATTTAAGTACTTGGCACAAGCTCATTAAGTGTTATTTGGCAAGAGCTCGTTTTATGCAAATTTTGTGTCTCGCAACTTGCATGAATGGACCAAGGTGGAATTCACGATATTTGAGTGTATTTTGGTCAAGTTTGGTCCATATCCTGTTTTTATTCCTTGTACATTCTTAGTTTAGGTAAATACTCTCATGTTCATGCCTAAGTGTGTTTAAATGTCTTTATTTAATCATTAAGGAATATATGGCGTACATAGGAATTGATACAAGGCATTCTTTGTTTGATAATACCACCTACATGTCCCCTCGTCCATTTTTGTATCCTAGTCCGTGTTCTTCCTTTTTGTTCATTAACTTAGGGAACCGAATGTTCGGAGGTTGTTGGGAAGTGATTTTCAGTGTTGTGGGGTCCTTTGGAGAGTATGAAAATGTGCTACAAGTGTTTGAGAGTAAATCAGGTGAAGAGGTGCAGAATTTGGCAGAAAGCTAGCAATTGTAATCGATACTCTGGGTAGAGTAATCGATAACTCCTTGCCAGGTTTGACAGTTATCGATAACAGTTGTAAAAGTAATCGATACCTGTGCAAGAGTTTTGGTCCACAAAGACTCCAGATTGAAGGAGATCGATACCAAGGGCAGTGGGTTATCGATTACAATGTGCTACAGGTTAGTTCCAATATGAAGTTATCGATTACTTCAAGATTGTAATCGATACCAGTGCTTCATCTTGGTCCACAATTCCTCCAAATTGAAGGGGATCGATTACATAAGGGAACTGTATCGATTACATCAAGCTCGGGGCAATGGAAAAAAATGAAGGTATCGATTACAAGAGATGGAGTTATCGATTACATGTGGCGGCCAGAAGATATTTTTCCTGACTTTCCAACTTTCCTTTTATGAAAAGTTTCCTTTTAAGGCGTGGTTTTGGGATATTTTTTGGAGCCTTTTGGTCCATGTTTTGGCTAATTGTTTTGGCCTATTAATAGCTTTATTGGCCATTATTGGCCATTATGTACTTCTTTCCAAATTCTAGTCTTTTACGTTTAAGAGCTCTTAGTTATTTCTTCCAAGTTCTAGCTATCAATTCCGTCTCAAACTCAAGTAAGTTTTGGTTGTTTGATTAAATCTCGTTTGTTAATGTTATAGCTACACGTTGGATCTTAATAGAAATCAAGTTTAATTTCGTGTTTATCGGTGAATCATGTTTTCAATACTTAGCATAATTTCTAGTCTTTTTCCAATGTGTGAGTAGTGGGGTGAGGTTTATTCTATGAATTAGTTGAGCAAATGGTTTCGCTCATTCTTTAGCTCGATTTCAATGTGTTGAATGACTTAAACCCATGATTTCTGGTATTTGATCATGGGATTGGTGGCTTCTTTGATCAATGAAGTCTATCGCCCCATGCTACGTGCTTGATTAATCGTACGCGTGTGAACGATCCATTTTCGTCTCCCACTTGCGTTAAATGAGTTCAGTTTGAATTAATGCATTGAATCGAGTTACAAGTAGTCTTCAGCTTTAATGCTTTTAGTGGAATCCGGACGGTTTCGGTCCACTCTTTAGTTAGATAAAGGAACCGTTTGAATGGCTGAATTGTGAGTGAACCGAGCTCTCTTGACTCGACCATCTTAATCTAGTTTAAATCCAAGTTTTTATCGCCATTTCAAATCAATCATCGAAGTTGGCTGCTTGAAAGCTGTAAAACCTTTTCATGGCATCTATTCCAAATTAGCTTAGAAGATTTCTCCGTGGGAACGATCTGGTCTTACCGGTTTATATGCTTACAACGACCTAGCCCTTGCTTTATTTGGAGGGTAGGTTGCGGAGTTAAGCAAATTTTGGCGCCGTTGCTGGGGATCGAACCCGGGTCACCCGCGTGACAGGCGGGAATGCTTTCCACTATTCCTCCAGCCGGTTGGGTATCGATTATTCCAAGGAGGGTATCGATTACTTTTTATTTCGGGCAGCTTATAACTTGAAAAGGGCACGGTTCTTTTTCATTTTAACCTAATTCTCTCTCTCTCTTCACCACAGTCGACTCCTCTTCTCTTAACCCCACAAACCCTAACCCCCATCCCTCTCCAAATCCATTCAAGACTTCCATCAACCACCAAAAACCTCTATCTCTTCTCAAATCCAGCATGATTCCTCCATGATGTCCACGGTCTCGGAAGGTTTTTCAAGGGTTTGGGTCCGCAATTTTCAAGAACAGAGGTAAGTTCGAAAATCCACTTTCTCTCTCTGTAAATTCGGATTTTGCTCCTTGTAAACCCATATTCTCTCCCATCAATTATCAATCCCACTTACCAATCTCGTCCCCATTAACCAAAAATCCAAAAATTCTTCACCCAAAACCCAAAATTCTGAAATTAATTCGAACCCTAACCTACATTTCTGAGAATTCTGTGCTGTGGGCTGGATTTGGGGTTTATTTTCTACTTTGTGCTGTTGGGTATTGACTTTTGGGGACTGCTATGGCTTCTCTGTTATTGGGCTGAATCCGTGCTGATATCTCTAATTTCTGTGATTTTTGGGTTTGCATTTTGGCTGTCAGAATCGGATTTTATTGGATTTAAGGGGTATCTATTGTTGTTGCTACTGTTCTGTTGAAGTTAGGGTTGATTTCTCTTACAGCAGGTGGTGGTTTGAATTGAAAGTTAGGGTTTTTGCTCGCTGTAATTGCTCTGTTTGTTGGGAGATTTCTGCAATGGTGAGAGTGAAACAGGTGGGTGCGAGGGCAAGAACGTTGTTTCCTCATCTCGTCAAGAGATTGAGGAAGAGATTGTAGAGGAGCATGAGCATGACGCCATGGAGGAGGACAGTGAAGAAGAAATTCCTGTGGTGAGTCGAACTGGCTAGCGTGAGAAACGAGCTAGGCGTAGGACGCCAAAGGAGATAGAGGCGGACGAACAATTTGATTATGTGGAATCTATACCAGGGAGGGGTTTCAAGAGTGAAAGGCAAATCAGTAGGACGAGCTTTCACGACGATTACATCATCACCCTACTCAACAATCATGGTTTGCGTTTTTGGACTCGAGCTCTTAAGGTTACAATGCCACTGGTGTCATCGAGTTTTATCAGAACTTAGATACTAGTGAGGTGATGGAGAAAGGAAGAATCAAATCCAAGGTGAACAATAAAAGAATTGTGACAGATGCTGAGGAAATCGCTAAATACTTGAAGTACGAGAGGCCAGAAGGGAATTCAGTGAATTTTCTGCGCACCGAGCCCATTGATTCCAATGCTATTCTCAATGACATGTACACCACTCGTCCAAGCGTCGGGGTTCCTCCACACAAACCGGAGGGATTCACGGATCTTTATAGGGTTGTAAATCAAGTGGTGCACTATAACCTTTATCCTCGAGGAGCGGAGAATAAGCCTTCGAAGAAGAGTTCCGAGATTATGTATGCTTTCGTGCATGACACATAGTTCAAGGCTGATTGGGCTAAGTTCATTCTCGGACAGATTGTGGATTTCAAAAAGGAGACCTTTGGCACAACCCGTTGTCCTTTCTCGTGCATGATCACGGCATTCTTGCGAGAGAAGGGCATAGAGAAGGGGGCCTATGAAAGGCTTGATCCACCGACTCCTGGCATTATTACCAAGTCTGAACTTAAGGAAAGCAAAGGTCAATCAAAGGCTGCTGCAGCCAGCACATCGGCGGGCCCGTCGGGTGCCGTTCCTCCCGAGCCATCCTTATGGTCGGTGCCCGATCCTAAGGCACCGAAAGAGAGTATATGGAGGCAGCTTTGCTGCTAGCAGATAGCCATTTGGAAATGCATCCAGAAGGAGAAGAATGAGAGGAAGAAATTGGCTAGGGAGGTGGGAGAATTCAAGCATGAGCTGCACTGGCATACCGAGTACATCGAGAGCACTACAACTGAGAAGTACGAGGCACCCCCGCGAGCTGAGGAAGTTGTGAGTGAGGAGGAAGTTTTATTTGGACCGGGGGCTGTTCCCGGTGGGCAGTGAGGTGGACGTTTGTGTCGGTGGTTTAGTAGTAGTACAAATCCCTCTACTTGGGTCGAGGTGCTCGGTGGATGACAGCCCACCTGTCTATCTTTTTTATGGTTTTTATTAGTTGAACTGGTATCTCGTAGGTTAACAAGTTTTTGTCACTACTAGAAAATTTCCGATAGGTGACGAATCAAGTGGTGACGAAATGTACTGTTTTACTATAGATGACGAAAAAACAAAATTTTCGTCACCAAAAGTCACTTTTGGTGACGAAAAATTTATTTTTTGTCACCAAAAGTGACTTTTGCAGACAAACTATAGGTGACGAAATTTACTATTTCAATTGTCACCTATAGGTTGTCTCCGAAAGTCACTTTTGGTGACGAAAAGCAAATTTTTCGTCACCTATAGTAACTTTTGGTGACGAAAATTTTGTTGTTTCGTCATCTATAGTAAAACAGTAGATTTCGTCACCACCTTTTTCGTCACCTATCGAAAATTTTCTAGTAGTGTGTTTTGGCCGGTATGTGGCCTTGACTTGGTAGTTTGAGTTGGTGGCGGCCAAGGGTAGATAACCATGCTAGTATATGGCCGCCGCCCATTTTGCTAACCGTTCTTTGATTAAACCAAGGTCGTTAAATGCTAAAAAGTCCTTAGTTGATTCGTAGTACGCTTTTATTCCATCTTGATTCAATTTGTGATGTTATGCATACGTTAGTTCATGGCATGCATTCTTTTGTTACTTTAGCTTATAGCTTGTGGTAATGGAATTCTGTTCTTTGGTGCTCTCCATATATAAGGCATGGTATTTTTGTTCTCCATAGCCTAATTTCCGAGCACCTTTTTGTGGGATATGGTTAGTAGCATGCATTTTCATATGTCTTGAAACCGTATCCTCCATTTTGACCTTGGATACGGTTTTTGGTAACTTGTTCGGAATATGCTTAGTACTAGTGTTCTTTCGTGGTTTTCAGCTGTTAGTTGCGAGTTTGAATGAATTTGCTTTTGGAACTCTTGCTAGCTCGAAGTTTAGAGCATTTGCTAAGTATTTAACCGGAAGGATTGATTTCGTTTGTTTTACTTTTGTTGAATTGTTGCTAGGGATTACCAACGTTCAAGTTGGGGGGTGTGATGAGCACCCAATATTGCTAATATTTGGTGCTCTAGTCCTCTAGCTTATAGCTTATTTACGTTTTAGTTGCCGTTTTAGCTGGATTTTGCACGTAAGGTACTTTGTTGAGCTGTGCAGATGAAACGTGCAAATAAGGTGTTTTACGACGCCAAGTTTAGCCCTCAAGGGTAATTGCGCATCCGAGGCCAAGGTGTTGTTCTAGCCAAGTCCGGAAAGTCAAGGGATGATGCCTCGGGTGATGCTCAAAGGTGCTGGAGCAAGTTGGCAGAGCAGGAGATTAGGAATCTGTAAATTCTGCAGATTGTTATCGATTACAGAAGGCAGGGGTATCGATTACTTTTGTCCAAATTTGATCCAGGAAGCTGCCAAAACAACTAGTCATAAGAAGTTGATTAGATAAGCAAAAGATGGACTAGAAGGTATACGAAAGGGTTTAGAAGCGATTGGGGTTTGAAACGATTGAGAGAACACAAAATAGCACCGAAGCTGTACATCCACAACAACAAGGGGTATTGATACCCCTGAATCAGGTATCAATACCGAGCAAGCTGGAAATCCAGAGAAGGATGGGGTATCGATACCCCATATTTGGGTATCAATACCCCGCTGTTTCGAGGCGATTTTCTGTAGTTTTGACAGACATTCAAAGCACAAAAAGGGGACGATCAAAGCACGATTTCTTCATCATTTCAACATATATACACATAGAGAAGGTAAAGGAATCCCTACCTCGAGTCAAATGACGAAACCCAAGAGATTTGTACGAGCCCTAGCTCTGAGCTCCTTGAAATCAACCAAGATCTTCTCTTCAAGCTTCACCCAACGCGATACGAGCCCGGGGTTACGTTCTAGAGGTGAAAACAAGATGGATCCTTGAGGTTTTTGAGGTATATAGTGGAGTTTCAAGTGAGAGAGCAAGAGAGAGAGAGAGAGAGAGAGAGAGATAGAGAGAGAGAGAGAGAGAGATAGAGAGAGAGGCGTGAGATGAGAAAGAGATATATGGGAGAATTTTATCTCCTACTCACACACACCACTATATATATACTAGCAAAAGGGCAAATAACACCTACACTCCCTCTAGTTTTCATTCCATCACTTAAACCCCAAATCAAATAACCTCACCATTTTTGTATTATCCCCAATTTCGATATTTATAAAACCTTTAAATATGTTCTGAAAATACGGGTCTCTACAAATCGGGATTAGATTAGTGTAGCAATCGTGTCTACAGAAGAGACGTAAACACTGATTTCGCCTCGTAGGGTTTGCGTTTTTTTCTTCTGTCTAATTTGAACGCATCATTACTAGGTTTTAAGAATTATTTTCCTACAGGTACATCCCACTATTGTTGTAATATAGTACATAGGTTATGGAATGCACCACATGCGATAGATCGATCGTATAACTCAAAAGGGTTGTTTCTCATTTTTTTTTAATTCGACAATTAGGGGTGTTCAAACCTGCTTAATTCTAAGCATTTCAACTATTTTCCTCCCCGATCTGGTCAAGCAGACGATTCACACCAAAACTAGCTAGGATTGCAGTATTTTTTTCTTTCCGAAAAATGAGATGACAATAAGATAGCTTTTTTAGCAGCATCTTTTTAATTTATAAATGTGGAGTTTTGTCCTCTGCCAAGGTAAACTATAGAAATAGCTATTGATGCTTTTGTCTTTCACAAACATAAACATTATACTTGACTGCTGATGTTCGATCAAGATAAATTGTACTTCTTTGCTGAATAAAAAATAAGAAGGGTTTTCACTTTCGATAGTTGTTGAGAATCGGAAGTGGGCTCACAATGATTCAAAACTAGACC